GTTTGCGTGGTCCTTCTCTACAATGTCTGATGAAAAACAGCAGACCACTGAGTCAGCTACACATGCCACTATTTTCTACATAGGTAGGAATGACCTTGGGGAAATAGGACAATTTCTCATTTGAACATACTGTTTTGGACAGGGTTTCAGTGCTGTATATTACAGCAAGACTGAAGAGTTTCCAATACCCTATCAGCTGCAGAGTCATAACTCATTCCAGGTTCTTCTCGGAAAGACAAGTATGCATTTTTATGTGGTTAGAAGTAGCATGATGCAATAAATCGCAGGGTCCCTATAATGACTGCCAGTGGGATTAAGAAAAAGCATCTAACCAAAATTAACATAAAAATGACAGAGCAGGAGGCAGGGCCCCACTCAGCTTCTGTGAAAAGTACCATTGTTTGCATTTTTTTCAAAGGGATGAATTGAAAGCCTTTCAAAAAGGCAAACACTTAATTGCCATTTAACTAAAAAAAGAAGCTGTTAGATATAACAGAGTCAGACATTATAGCAAAGGAAGGACAAAAGTAGAATATATACTGGCTTACTGTAAAAATAAGTATATGTTAAACTGCATTAATGAAGCTGAGCACTCAGGAAACAGAAAGCACTTGCTCAATAGTTAGTCTTTAAAGATAAAAAGAATAAAGATTGTTAAGCAACAGGGTCAACATACTAGTATTAGTTCATCATTAAAAACAGTCTAATTTCTATATGGTTTATAGCTACTGCTATAATTTTTATATACTTGAATCTTCGCCCCCCCCCCCCCCCCCCAAGAAAATGCTTTTTCTCCAGTGTATGCATAATTCAAGGATTGTACCAAAATGCTAGACAACTTGCATTCCCAGCTTCAAAAAGACATTAGATTTTGCTTTGTGAACTAAATAGCACCGGGGGCTTTGCAGATGATCTGAAACAAAATGTCAGTCAAGAGCATATAACTGGTCACCTGGATAAATTATATTTTACAATTACTTGTTTATCACTAATTTAACTGGGAGGGGTAGAAAAAATTCTTTTCCTGTTTTGTTTTTCAAAGCTGAAATTTTTAGGTCTTGAGCTGCATATTGGGCAAGAATGTACACTACTAATTTTAATGACCTGGATGGGATAAATACAGCCAGGTATTGACAATACACTAAGTTAAACTTGCATTAAAATCAGCTAGACATCCCAGTTGAGTGCACTGTTAATATCCAGTCTCTTTGTATCATGATAGCTGGGACAGGATTCTCAGCCCCAATATGTCTCTGGTAAGTAGTCAATAACGGATGAGCTAAAGAAACCTAATCAAACCTACCACAAGGCTAGGGAGGGAGGTTTGGCGGCAGCAGGGGGGCAGAGGGATGTGTATATTATATTAATACCAGGAAGCTAAAAAGAAATGTTTAAGCCAAAACAGAAACAAAGGATAAATGGTCTCCTAACAGTCTGAAGAGAAACCACTTCAGATCAGACAAATCTGTATCCAAATTTTAGCATTTTTCAAAGAATAAAATTAGTGTATGATACAATTCCAAATGCCCCATAAAGCTTTAAGAAAATACTTGTGATCTGAATACTTGAAAGCCGCTAGATTTTTAAGACTTTTCACTTGCAAACAGCAAGGTCAAACACAGCCCATATTGATTTCTGCTATAAGTAGGTAATGTGATGCCATCTTTTTGGTTTCAGTCCATTTCTCATCTGGTGTACACATTACAAAAAGCTCACCAACACTATCAACAGTGATTGGTTAACTTTGCTGGTAGTCAAAGAAGGAAGATCAAGGATTGAACAAATAATTAATTTGGTTTTGATATGAGACAGATGCACTAAAATGTCAGTGATGTATTAACCAGTACCGATTGAAAAACTAAGGAAACTTTAGAAACCTCCAAACTTAAGGTGGCAATTACCACTGGCAAAAATGTGATAAGAAATACTTGCCTTGACTATTATAGTTGAAACTGAACAAGGAATTTCAGATAACTTCATTGGTTGCACCTTGTATGTTAAAAAAAAATACATATGCTCAGAAGTTACTATTAATAGTGGGCAATGAATTGGAAAACTAGTTTAAAAAAAAAAAAGAATGAAACAAAGCATGTGCAAAACACTTGATACAGAATTATAAGAATTTAGATATTCAGACCATGTAAAATGGCTAAAATGTTTTTTTAGATATGTAACGCACATTATTGTAACACAAAGCTTTCCTACAAAAGCAGAATTTATGCATAGAAAAGGTAGCATTTAAAACTGATTGTCTACATGATTGTAAAGGAAAAGAGAGGACAGATGCCATCGGCAAATATCCCAAGAGATTCAAAGGCTTTACTGAATGAGACTGGAATCACACCAGAATATGCAAATATTAAATTATCTAGTGACTAGTGTGACTTCCTAAGAAAGGACCCAGCCAAGCAGATAGCCTGGAAAAAAACCTACACAGAGACCTTATTATTTAGTAGGTTGTAAATCTCTCCAGTCTCAGGGGCCCTACAGCAGGAAGGCTGAGTATACAATAATCATTCTTCCCTCAGGTTTCCCGACATTACTATCAGTGGTGCAAATCTAGCATCAGTAAAGAAAACATAAATGAGGCAATGGGTTAGGGCCTGTTTTCTTACATCATCCAACCCAGTTTGAACCTATTTCCCCTAAACTTGGTTAAAACACAGGGAAATACCATTACTACCATAGGAAAAGTCTATTTAACAATTACTTTGAGAGACAGAAATTAAGTTTGGCACTTGAGAAAATGCTGCAAGTCCAGTCAGAAACCTTACAAAATTTTGTATTGTATTAAGAAAAGGTTACTGAAGAATCTGCTTTCCAAGCCAAACCATTCAGAAGGTATTGTACATGCAAGCGCCCCATCCTATTATTTCCACTCACACCACATCCTCCTGTATCATTATAAAAATCACTTGAAGCATTTACTGACACAACAGTACTTTATTAGTGACAGCTGACAGTTAACAAGACTGTTTCAGTGGAAAGTAGAGTTGAACATTTAAGACAGGAATGTTTCAGTGGAAGGTAAAGTTGAACATGTTTCCATTATACAGTTAGACTAGGCATAGTTCTAATGGACATTTTCTCTTCTTTACCTTATCAGAATGGCTACAAATGGAAGATTTAAGGGACATGTTTTTAAAAAAAAAACCTCACATTTCTTGTCCTACTCCTCACATATTAAAGTCTCCAAAGATTTAGGTGTAATTGGGGTCCATCTGTTTTAGTCTGTTGCTACGTTTTTAGCAAGAATTGTGCAGTCCTTCTGATGTAGCCAGGGAAAAAAAAAGTGAAAGAACCTGAGGACAGAGCTTTATTAAGCAATTGAGTACAAAAGTTGTCCAAGATGTATCAAGGGCAGAATATAGTTTTCAAATCAGGTTTTGATTTGGTTGAGTCACTTTAAAAACTCTTCAGGAAAGAAACTTCACAACCAACTTCCATATTTCAAGTACTAGAAACAACAATATAAAACAAAAATAATTTTCTGAACAAAGTGCCAATTTTCACCAGATGCCAGAAAAGTGAATACATACACCCTTATCTCCCGAACTTTCACTCAAAGTGTAGAGGAATGGTCAACTTTTAGAGGCTGTCCTACTGAAGGGACTGTATATACACTGCATGCATGAAAAATGCTAAAAGTACTACTTGGAAGACAGAATTCCTGAAATGTTCTTATTCATAAATAGACATTTCTTATCCAACCTCTTAATTTGATTAAAGGAACAAGTTACAAAAGTCAGGAGACTGGGATTTAAACTGTAAGCCGTATCCTTGCTTCCTCTGAATTTATAGTCATCTGTTTTCTATTTCCAGCTGGGCTGTGAAAGTGGCAAGTTATGACCTCTTGTTTGTATAGTGACAAAACAGATACACAAAACAGTACTTAACAAAAAAAAAACCCCCACTTAGTGTTTCTTTCTCAGTGTTAATACCAAGGTAATACTAAAAAACACTATCAAGTTTTAACAGACTTGAGATTCTCTTGGCATATGGTAACCCTAGTGGCTTTAATGTTTATTTGGTAATCCTGAAGTAATTTATTAATTGAAAATTAATTAAACCGTGGTCAAAAATTATTTTTCTAATTAAACAGTAACAGTGCATGGTTTCAGTTATTCCAGCCTCTTACCTAAATTAGCTCATCTGACATTTCATAGCACATATATTTTATTTCTGGAGAAATAATCTACCTGACAAACATTCATAATTTAACCCACAGGTGAGCCACCTACTGATTTATATGCAACTTCGTTTCAGCTCTGCAGTGTTCATATTTGAATACATCATGTTTAGTCTATAAAGCAGATTTGGTTCCTAATGTACAGAAGTATTCAAGTCCAGTATTAGAGTAAGTACTGGAGGCCAAATCCTTCCTTGTGCTTTCTCCAAGCATGCACGCCAAATTAACATTCATTGTAATGAGTAACTGGGGAAAGCGAAGCCAAAAAGCATAACACTGACAAACCTTTGGCTTTGTTTTAACACTGCTTAAGTAAGCAGTTTAACAAACAGGAAGCTGTGTACAGTTGACTCATGTAATAACTAAAGTTATAATTTGAGTTGAGTAGATATTATTCCCTAGAGACAACAGCAAAAACAACAAAACAATCAGAAAATGCAATTTTTCAACAGCATTAGTGTGTGCATTCAATTTTATGCACGATGTTGGGAACAAGCATTGGTCTATTCACTTCATTTCTGCCTCAAAATGAAAAGCTAACAAAAGCAGAAATACTATGAATTTCAGTCCTGTACATTGTGCAGAATGTTAGGGCAGAGCTAGCTATCCATAAGTCATAATAGTCGTGCAATTCTTATCCAAGTGGTGCATCAGGGCTACGATGATTAAGTAGTATAACACCACGAAGTCCAACTTGCTCATCATATTACATCCCAGGCACAAATGACACCAAGAGCATTATTTTGTTAATCAGGGCTTTTCTGATTAACATTATTAATGTTTAATTAATATTTGAAGCTTGTTTTTTTTTATTATGCCTCATGTTGACTCATTCTATATTCAAAGACACAAATCTCATTAAACATTTCAGCTGTATTTTTTTTTTTTAAATGAGCCAAAAAACTTGCATAAGTTTTAAAGGACTCAAATAAGAATGTTACAGCATGAAGCACAATATTTGAAGTGTGTGAAGTAAACGTAAAAATAACTTGTACAGGTCAAATAGTAGAAAAATAAGCATTGGCACAAGTCTAAGAAAGGTAAACATTTCAGTACAAAATAGTGTAGGAAACTTGTTAAAGAAGTCACAGATCTGGGGTGGGGGAGAAGTTTCCAAACAAACAGCAGCAGTTTCTTCACATTTTCTACTATTTGTGCAAATGCAGCATTGAGAAAATACCTTTTTTTTTTTTTTTTTAAACAAAACAGAGGTAAACAAAACAGCAGTTAAAGCTTCAGTTCCTTTTGTTCATAGCATCTGCACCTTTCCTGATTCAGCAGCGTCTCACTGCCATTAAAGACATTTTCAGTTACCAGGAAAGAGCCATGTGTGCTCATCACGCATTTGTTTTACCATGCAACTCACACTGAGTGTGACAGCTTATCAATCAAATCATCAACAGTGTACACAAGAAGCTTTGTGTCATCTTTCTCTTTCATCCGGTGTTGGCCAGCTTTGCGGAGGATAATATCAACATCTTTGCTCAGGACCTGGTCAGCAACCTGCATGGAAATATGCCAAGGAACATCTTCATCCTTCATGCCATGGATAAGCCTTACAGGGCAAGTTATGGGAATAGGACTAGCTAAGAGACGATGGTTTTCTGCTTCTTTAATGAAATCATATGTCAAACAATAAAAGCCCTCTTTGTTATGTTTTGTTGGCAGCTTCCATTCACTTTTTTCTTCTACTTCTTTTTTTACCTGTTGGAAAAAAGAGAGAGTCAAAAAATGAATCAAGAGAAACATTCTTTTGAAATTTGATATTATAGTGAGCTTCAAAAAAATAAATAAATAAATAAATTAAAAAAAAATAGATCATCTGAAATCAGGGCTGGAAAGGACCTTGTGAGGTTGTCTAGGCCCTGGCTCAAAATAGGTTTATCCCTGACTATACCATCCTAGCCAAGTGTCTGCCCAACCTGCTCTTGAAAAATTGCCAAGGATAGAGATCCCATAACTTCTCTAGGCGACTCGCTCCAATGGTTAACTGCACTCATGATCAGAAAGTTCCTCCTAAACCCCAACTTACACCTCCTCTGCAGCAGCAATAAAACATGGGCGTCTCAGCTACAAACAAGCCTGAAACATCTACACAATTGGTTTTAGTCATGCCACAGAGACTCAAACATGAGGGTCTTCCAATGAACAGCCTTCTTGGCCTTTAACCTAATACTTACAATAAGTCTTTCCCACCTGGCAGAAATTGCTAGTAAACTTCTGCCAAGTTACTTCAGTCAGATTCCTCCTAATCTCTCCTTATCTACATAAGAAGCAAAACTTGAAAAAACACTGTGAGTGTAGGTATACGGTGGCCACTCATGTTCTTTATGACAAGACTAATCTCACCACATTGTTCTATCGGTTGGCTTGTACTTGGATTATTAACTATTGGGGCAGGGACTATTCATTGTTTTGCTCACCTAGCAAGCTAACAACAGGGCCCTGAGTTGTGATGAGCTTTTAGGCACTAGAACTACCTAAAAGTACAAGTTTTAGCTAGTCCTGACAATTCCCTTAAAGAAATAAAGGATTTTGCCTACTGTTGATTTAGTTTAGCCACATTTATAATTCTTTCATAGAAAAGAACTTCAAACAAATGTAAACAAAATTAAAAAGGAAAAAAGCTAACCACAAGCATTTACCTCAACAGGAAGCTGGTTAAAAGTTGTTATGACATAGTCTGCAGCTACAGCTACTCCAACTAAAGCAGCTACTTTTTCAGGACGCGCTATTGCAGCATGAAGCATCAGCCATCCACCCAAGCTGGATCCCACGAGAATCTTAAAAAAAGAAATTAAAGTGATTCTTCTATTTAAAATAAAAAAGTCCCTCTGCTTTGTTTTGCAAAGCCTTAGGTACAATTTTGTATAGCTACTTAAACCTGAGTCCTAATCCTGCTGTCCTTACCCAGGCAGAACTGCAGTCATTGCCAGTAGGAATTTTGCCTGAGTAAGTACTACAGGATCTGGCAGTTTACTATTCTTTTGTTTGGCATGGAAGGTTACTGCTCTCAGACTGAACCACTGTACACAAAATGAAAACTGAAATATAGTTCAGCATCAAGTACATTTCTGACACTTCATTCTGACAAGAATTTTGCATTATAAATGGTTTATTAATAAAATAGCAACGATTAATAAATATTTCATACAAAAAAAGCTTTCACTGAATTACATCAGTTTTTCTAGTCTCTACATACTGAGCTATTCTTCAAGTAGCTTACTGTAATTCCCACTCCTGCAAATGTAAAATATCCATACCTGAAGGGGCTTACTACTAAGGCATCTAAGTTGCAAACACCTTAATACTGACCTCTTGGCTTTATTTTCTTGGCAACTTTTTTTTTTTAATCCACCACATTTTATTTTCCTGCAGCATGCTTCTTTGGTACATCCACAGATATTAGTTTGCTTATCAGCATCTACATACTTGGGAGAGCTTAGCTGGTAAATTTTACCCAAGATGAATCAGACTGAAAGTTGTAAGTTTTGTTTTGTTTTTCCTTTAAGTAGCAGCAGCAACCATTTGAACCACTAAACTGAATAACTGGCTATTGCTTTTATTTAGAAAGACAGTTCATGCAATATATTTTAAAATAAATTCAAGAGTAACCTGTGGTCCCTCTGTGAGTTCATCCAGTACTGACAGAACATCTTTTCTCCACTTCCCAATTGTACATTCCTTAAGATTACCATCTGAGCTTCCACACCCTGTATAGTCAAACCTGCAGAGTAACAATCAAAATAAAAGTATATAATATTGGTTAAAACAATGCATTTCATTAACAAAAAAACCCAAAACAAACATTGCTAAATATTAGAGATGGTCTTACAAACACACTATCACAGAGTTTTCCAGGAATGATTAAGAAAGAAAGTGAGCATCTACTTAAACATGCTTTCATGTTCATTAAATGAGTGACACAGAACTCCCATGTAGATCTAGAAATCTGATATTCAGCTTTAACCCAGGCATGCAGACAGTACTTTCCCCAGAACAGAAGTGAAAGATGCACAATGTACCCAAGACTTAATGTCTGCTTCTGGTACTAACTGACTGCTAAACATGTTTGCCATAACTAAAAATTTTACTGCATAATCTAAGATTTAACAAGTTCTTTACATTATCAAACTAATTTAATTGAGGTGAGGTACATTCCCTTATTTTACCCAATATAAATTACACAGCTTTCCTATGATGCAGCACTTCTATGGAAAGGACACAATTAATAATAATTGCAGAGCTCAAACTTGATTGCTATGGCTTAATGGACAAGTTCAGAGGCATGTGGGAGTAGTTTACCCAAACAGTGAAGCTTGCAAGCTTGGATTTTATGCATGCAAAAAAATCTAGCTCAGGGACGTCAAACATAAGGCCTGCAGACTGGCTGCAGCACACGGAGCTCTATCCAGGCCACTGGGCTATTGGTGGGTCACTAGAAGTTAGGGGATGCATTCAAGGGGAGTAGACTGCTTTGAGCTTTGGTGCATGTGATGGCAGCGGCCAGGAGGAGCAAAGATTGATACAGCCCCGTTTGGTCTCTGGTCACTTTGTCTAACAGCACTGCTGCCTCCTGGACATTCTCCTGTGCTGGCCCTGCTGCCACCCTATGATGGAGGAGCTGCCACCACCACATGCCCCAGGTCAGAGCCAGAGCTCGTGTGTACCTTGTGCCAGAGGTGCCATAGCCTGATCTGCCACTGCATGCCCCAGGCTGGATCTGACTGGCAAAAAGCTCCACAGTCTGGACCTGGCCCATGGCCCAAGACAATTTTGACACCTCTGTTTTAGTTAATACCCAACTTACTAACCATAACAGAAATGGAGACCTTCAATTTTAAACATTTCCTTTCCTGTGTTGATATCAAATTTCATGCAATTCTACACAGGTTACAGAATGAATGACTATCACTTGAATCTTATACATATCACAATATATTTTACTAATTTAATGCAGCCTCCACATAGGAAGAGTGCCCAAATCTCAAATATATATTATGACACTAGGACAAGAAGGGGCTTTTTTGTTTTGTTGCTACACTGCACACTGGTTTTGCATTTTGGCAAATGATCTTATGCCTTTCTTTCTATAGAACTTCTTAGTTCCAAACACCATAATGTTAATCATATTTGTTTCTCTACACAATTTTCTTGATCGTACCTTACATAGGCATGACCTAGAGATTTGCAGAATTCCTCAAGTGCAATTGCTTTGTGACCATTCATATTTGAATTAAGACCTGGGAGAAAAACAACGCCTGGGTTCTTGCCTTTTAGCTTATGGTAAGCTAGATTTGGACGATCAGGTCGAGTAAGGAAACTGACTGATGACTTCAGTCTGCAAACTAAATAAGAGACACACACTTAGTGACACATTTTATAAATCAGATCCCTTACAGAAGCTAAAATTTTATAATATAGTTTGGCTTCCAAACTGCCAGCCTTAGAATTAATTTTAAAAACACAGTGTTAAAGCCCAAGTAAAGTATTCAGTCACAGCATCATTAGTAGTGATTCCAAATACTATCAGTTAAAAGGATTCTAAGTCTTGAGGCATCACAATTTATAAGTGATATTCAATCCTTAGATGCAGGGGTAGCAGCGGACATAGTCCTCCTGGACTTTCGGAAGGCCTTCGACACTGTCTCTCACCCCGTTCTCATTAAGAAACTGGGGAACTGTGGTGTCGACATCCACACAGTCAAATGGGTCCCCAACTGGCCGGAGGGCCGCACCCAGAGAGTGGTGGTGGATGGGTCATTTTTGACCTGGAGGGATGTGGGCAGCGGGGTCCTCCAGGGCTCGGTCCTCAGGCCTGCACTGTTCAACATCTTCATTGGTGACTTGGACAAGGGGGTAAAAAGCACCCTGTTCAAATTTGCTGATGACACTAAGATATTGGGGGATGTGGGCACGCTAGAAGGGAAGAATAGGCTGCAATCAGACCTAGACAGGTTACAGGGGTGCTACACTAGCTAGCACCACATCTGAAAGGGACCTGGGGGTCATTATTGACC